AATACTTATTCTTCTCTTTTTTTTTGCAAATACGATTATATTTAAAACAATAACAAAAATACAATTAGCTACATGTGTAATTTTATTCTTGCTTATTTCAATTGTTTGACAAAAGTTATTTACTAGTTAAATAGTTTTTATCTCTATTTACGATAATTATATCTATTTCTTAAAGCTTGTGTCTGAATTTTAATGTGTTATAGTTTTATTTTTAGAAGAGATCAATTTTATTCTCTATTTATCTCCATTTGAAAGGAGGTGACTTACTGAGTTTATGTAGCTGATCCGTAATTATATGAAATTTTTTCGAATAACCTGTATATTTGTTATCTATGAGGGAGATGGGGAATGCTACGAGGTAGTGTAAAACAGAGAATCTAGTTGGCCACTCGTCTTAAAATGAACGGAGTGATGTTGAAAATTTTAACAAAGTATTTTTAAGTATTTTTATATTAAATTGTGTGCAAATTTTACAACTTGCGCAAATGTGTAGTGCAAAATATGTACAATACGAAAAATATAAATTTCGAAAAAAAATTTTAATAGGAAACGAAAAGGCATTTAAAGCAGAAATTTGAGAGAGAAATCGAAAAGACATTTCATAAGCAGAAATAATGAATCTAAAATATTATACACGACATATATCTAGATTAATAGTTAATTTCTCTCAAAACACATACCGTAAAAAATTAAAGTATAACAAATTAGTGAAATTTAAAATTTGCATCTCTACATCATATTAAATATAATGTGAGTCTCCACATAACTTTAACTAAATGTGTACAGTACAATATAATATTATTACAGTTTTACAAAAAAAAAAAAAAAAAAAAAAAAAAAAAAAAAAAAAAAAAAAAAAAAATAGAAAAATAAAACAATTGAATTTGATTTTCCTCTTGATTCATTTCAATCATGCTAATTGTTAACACTAATCTATCAGGAATGTAACCGATAAAAACTAATTATTTCAGTTCCAAACTGCAATTAACTCATAAACCAAATATAATCAGTATTTTATGTAAACAGTTTACTAAGTGCGTTCTCAAGCACCAAATTAAATTTAACCGTTTTAAAAATTAATCTTTTAACCAGTGATAGTTCGTTCTAATTAACATTCTAAAATGAACTGTTTTTTGATTTTGTTAAACGACTTATTAAATTTAGTGTAACACGAATTTTAATATCGTTCTAAATCTAACCCTAAATTTTACTTTTTATATTTTGCAAAACATGGAACACATTAGTTCCTTTAATAATGCACAAAGTCCTTATCAATAAATTAAACTCTGATATAACGATAAAACTTGAGGTAAATAGTTTTTTTTTTTTTTATGAAAAATTTTATGATAAATCTTTTAATTAATATTTTTTTGATTTTTAGGTAATAGACTGGAACGACGATGGAAAATTACCAACTTTTTGCCAAGTGGTCTAAGAAATTGCCACCAACTTATATTATAACGCTGATAATAAAACTTTTACCTTTCAATTTGATAATTTTGACGACAAAAGCATATCTTTTCTCTATAAATTTAAGACCAAAATCGTAGGAACTGTGAAATCGAGATCAAATCTGATTAAATGTGGAGCCACTATTGGTCATACAGCTTTATCTGAATTTGTTTATAACGATATATGCAAATATGAATTCAATCATCGAAGTAACGTGTGTTTCAAGCGCAAGGTCATAGTTAATGAAGCGGGTAAGAAAGTTAAGCGCACGAGACTTTATAGTTGTACCATTGCAGCTTGGAAGCTTTATTGTGTTTTAGATTATCTTAAAGCTGATTGGTATGTTTGATTTTTTTTTTTTTCATATGTATAAATTGGTTTAAGCTTTGGTTTGATGAATGCTTAATAAAATCTTCATCCTGTTTTGGAGGGGATTTCTATATTGCCGTAAATTAAAGTTATATTGTAATTCTCTAATTTCATTTTAATAACTTAATCCAATTATACATGATATAAAATTAAATCATTGCTAATTTATATCAGATATCGAATCACAATCGTTTCCACTTATTGCTATTAGCAATTGAAATTAGTTGGATAAATTTGTTCATGTATTCCATAAACAGGGAAAATAGAACTTTAGCTTGTCCACCAGTAATTCAGGTGAGATTTTAGGATGCCAAGTTTTTTGGCAGCAATGCCAGCATCCCTCTAGATTTTTACATCAATTTAAATAATGCAATTTTTATTTCATATTCATGTTTGCAAAAAAAATTAAAAAAAGTTCAAACTTTTTGTATAGATAATACGATAAACATTAAATGGATTCATCTTTAAAGAAATAGCGCTATAAACCAATAATAATTTAGACAAGTTGGGTTAATTTATCTCATAGTATAGATTTTTTTTTTTTTCTTAAACGTGAATAATTAGGCTTTTTTTTCTGATTTCTTGCAAATATTTTATACGTTCTATCACGCGTTAATTAGCATTGCTGCTAGTTTATTTCTTTGAATTTTTTTTCTCGTATTAATATCCTTTCATATAATAAAATGGGTTTGACGTAATAATCTTAGTAAACTTATAAAGTTGAAAAATGAGATTTCAAGATTTTATCAAATATAATAATCTTTAATAAAAAATTTTAAATGACCTGTAGATTATTCAATGAGCAATTTGAAACAGAACTTTGGCTTGTCCAAGTGTAGACCTTAATTTTTCCTGGTCACAATGTTACACTTGACCATGCAAATACCTTTAAATACGGAGAATCTGATCCGAATTTTCAAAAAATGATTCAATTTTTTGCTAATGAGCTGCAAATTCACATTTTAACACATGTTGTTACTGAAACAAAGTAAGTTTATAAGGTATATGAATTATTTTTTATTAATTAAATTTTATTAATTTTAATATCCTTGAAAAATAATAAAGTTTTGCAAATTCTTGCATTCTTCGAACTGTTTGCAAAAAATGGAACACATTGATTCCTTTAATAATACATGAAGTCGTTATGAATAGATTAAATTCTGGTTTGAAATTTGAGGTAATTAATATTTTTTCTAATAAATTTTTTAAAATTTTAATAATAATTATTTAATAAATGTTTTTGATTTAGTTAATAGACTTGAACGGTGATCTCTTTTGGCAAAAATTAAAACGTCGTCCCGATTGGTCTAAAAAATTTCCGCCAACTAAATATATTAAAAATTTTACCAAAAGTTTTACATTTAAATTTGATAATATTGACGACACAAATATATTTCCTCTCTATAGATTTAAGACTAAAATTTCATTTTCTATGGAAATGATGCCAATTATTAAACTTGGAGGAACTATTTGTTATATAGCTTTACCTAAAGTTGTTATTAATGATATATACAAATATGATTTCGGTCATAGAAATAACATCGTATTCACAGTTAATGAAGAGGGTAACAACATTTGTCGAGCAAAATTTTATAGTTTTACCATTGAGGCTTGGAAGCTTTATTATATTTTAGATTGTCTTAAAGCTAATATGTATACTTATATATATATATATTCATTTGTATCCCGTATAAATGTGTAATAACTCGCATCTGCATGATATTTTGAGCCCCTGCACGATATTTTGAATTATTATACTTGGTGATAAAAAAATATATTGTTAAAACAAGGGTGAAAAATATCTGCTATTTACTGCACCGATGCTCATTGTTTAAGGGTAGGAGGTACGTGGATTATTTTTATATAGTATTATATGGTAAATTAAAATTTTTATAGAAAATTAATATATACTACTAATAAAACTTTTTTAATTTATAATCAATTTTTATTAAAATTTTATAAAATATAAATAAAATAATTTATCTATTATGGTAAAATTTTGAACTATTATTATATTTTAAAAAAATATACTTTTATATATAATCAAGTTTGTTTCAGTAAATTAAAATTTGCTTTAGTAGTATAAAATCAAAGAATTTGATTGGCTAATTTATATATATATAAGTTAATTTTTATTATATAATTTTATATTCTAATTTTTAAAAATTTATATCTTATTGAGTTTTTAACCAATTTTAATGACTTTATTATTATTAGAATTAGCAAAATCTACTTTACAAACTTTTCTTATAAATTAAAATTAGTTTACTTAATATAATTTTTTATAAAATTAAATATAAAAAAATTATCTATTAAATTTATATATAATTTTAAAATAGTACTCTTTACTCCTAAAATATCAAGTATCATTTTTGTTATATCAAAATATTCAAATGTCAAAATTTTTTTTATAATATATATTAATTTTACAATTTATGCAATATTAATATTATCTTTAATTAATTAAATTTAATATATTGTAAATTAAAAATAATACTTTTTGAATTGTAGATTAATAAATAAATATTTTTTATCTAGTTACAATAATAAACTTTTCTTGTAATTTCATAATTGTATTTCTTATATTATTCAGTATTATTGCTAAAATAAATATATATATTACTTTTAAAATTAGTTAAATAATATTTATCTAATATATAACAATACAAACTTATTAAAAGAATAATATACTATTTATATAATTTAGAATGAAGATATTATACTAATATAAAAACTAGAAAAACAAAATCTGTTAAGTTTCAGAGCACTACTTCATATTTGTAAAAAAATCTACTAATTTATAAAATATTAATAAAGAGAATGTAAAAAGTTTTAAATTTGTAAATTAGTTCTTAGATACAATTTAGCAATATAAATAAAGCTAATATGTGCAATTATATCAAGAATATTAATGTAAAAAAATTGTTTCTTACTTAATAGATTACAAAAATTTAAGTCATAACATAAATAAATTTTTAAATTGTTATATAAAGAAAATACATATAATAGTTTAAACTAAAAAAGTTTACTAGATTATAAAAGCAAATTAATTAAATTTATATAATTTAATTAAATACAAAATTAATTAAAATAAAGAGTTTAAAGATTCACTGGTTGAAATTTGCAAAAACAGTGCTAAATCAGCAAACCTTTGGTATACTATTCAGCAATTATTTAGTAAATATTCAGTAAATATTCAGATACTGTTTGGTACAATTGCTGCTACTTGGCATTTGTGAATACCAAGTAGCAGTGATTGTACCAAACAGCAGCTAAATATTTACTAAATGTTTACCAAATAGTTGCTGAATAGTATGCTAAATGTTTGCTGATTTAGTGCTATTTTTGCAAATTTCAACTAGTGATTAGATTATTAATAGAATAAATTTATAATATTGCTATAAATAAGAGACTATTTTTAGCTCATATATAACTCCAAATTTTTTCTTATAATATAAAAAAAATACTAAAAAAAATAATTGTTATTTTTAAATTTTATTATCTATAATTATTTTTATAATATTTTTATTTTAAAAAAGTAAATTAAAGCTAAATAAATATAAAAATATAAGCAAATTTATTTGTATCAGTTTACAATTTAAGAAATAAATTACTAATTTAAAAACTTTAATTATTAATTTATTTTTTTATATTAAACTAATATTACTATTATATTTAACTATTTAAGTAGTTAATTTATCTATAAATTTATTTATTATATAATTTAGATTTTCTTAAGATATATTTTATTTAATATATTATAAGTATATCAAGCTTTAGCTAATTTTAGAAATAAATTTTACTAAAATAATCTTATACTTATTTTATAGATTTATTTAGTATAAACTCTTGCTATATTTGATAATTTTAAATTCTAACTATAGTTCTTTATTAATTAGTTAATCTAGTCTTTTTTTAGTTACTAATTACTTTTTTATTTTAGTTAATCTAGTTTTTTTTTAGTTACTAATTACTTTTTTATTAAGTAAACCTAAAATTTTCTATCTTTATTAAATAGAGTTTTTTTTGAATTAGATTTTAACTAATATAAACTATAAAAAGATTATATTATCTTATTAACTTAAGATTTTTACTATGCAAATTTTTTACTTATATATTTTATTAAAATTTATTTATATAATATTATATTATATTTCTAATTTTAGATTAATTTAGTATAACTTAATTTTTTTTTTAATATTAAGATGAAGTTTTACTTTTATCTTTATTAAAATTTGTATAAGATTCTATAAGAAGTTTCTTAAAATTTACAAATTTGTTTATAAAAATTAAGACTCTGACTATAAATAGTAAACTATTTAATTTATTTGCAATCTAAACTTATTAGAATAGTTAAAAACTCATCTAAATTTAAATATTTATAATAGTATTTGATGAATAATTTTTTTTTAATTTAGCAGTTATGCTAAGACTTTATTTAGATTTATTCTATAGATACCTATATGCAATCTGCTATAGTACCTTTGTTCTATATTTAAATAGTTATAAACAATTAACTACAAATTAATATAAAAAGGATACTATAGCCTATTATTACTAATTTTAAATCCAGATAGTTAAAATTCTCTTCTTTACTTCACTAGCTATACTATCTATTACTATTTTAAGACTAATATTACAACTTTCTATATTCTTATCTATTCTGTAGTTTGTTTTTTTCTATGAAGTCCTTTCTTTTAGAACATTTTTTCCTTTTTTTTCTTGTGTATTTTTTCTTTTTAGAGATCCTTTCTTTTTTCTTCAAAGTTTCTATATCTTTGCATCAATTTTTTTAAACTTTCTCATATACTAATTCTATTTAGATATACTAAAACTAGCTCTAGAATTTAGTCATTATATTTTTAGTACTAATAATAATTTTGATTCTTTTAGCATCTTCTTCACAAAGTATACCTCTTAACTATTCTTTTCTCTTTTGTTGTTTTGTTTTCAGTTCATATTAGAATACTTAGTGTATACTCTTTAGATCCCAATTTTTTTCCTTTCTTTTATCTATTTCTATACTTCGTCTTTAATTTTTTTTAATACCTAGTATGTTTTTTTATAGGTAACTAAATATTCAATTGTTTCTTTTTCTTTTAAACATCTTTTGTATAGACTATCTTTGTACAATTGCAGCTTTCTACAATTTAAAGTTTCTATTATTAGAAAAAATTTTTATTATATTTAATTTTGAACAATCACAAGTAGTATATTTCAGAGTTTTGGTATTGTTTACAACAGCTTTCTAGTATACTTTTGAAAGCTTTTCAATTCTGTTTTTGAATTCTTGTTTGGTATTCTATATTATTTTTCTTTTTTAGCTAGGTCTATTTTGTCTTGTAAGTTGTTTGAACTACTTTTTTAACAAAAACTCTTAGCAGAGTTTTCAAACTTAGCTCTTTCTATTCAAAAATATACTTTATATTATTGTTACTGATATTGTTCAGTTCTATACAGTTTGCTTCATATATTCCTTCCTTTGCAAATATGTTTGCAAAGTTATTATACTTATTACCTAAGTAACTTTTAACTTTTGTTAGTATTAGCTAAACTGATTTGCTTTTGAAGACCTTTTTAATTGTATGCAGAATATTATTGTTCTTATATTTTAACCACTCATATATCTTCTCATTCTTAAGACAATTCTTAATTGCAAAGATTGCACATGTGCTATCTATTCTTATTTCTACTTTGCATCTATTAGAAGCTAACAAAACTGCTACTAAACAAGCTACTCGCTCTATGCAAGTAGATGAGAACTAGTTTTCTATTCTTTTCTTATAACTAAAAACTATACTATTTGTACTATCGATTTAAACTACACTAAATTCTATCTTTATTTTGTTTCTGGTATCTATACTTTCAAGTGAGCCATCTGTATAAAATACTATTTCTTTTTATTTTCTATTTACTTCTAATCCTTCTTTTAGTTCTGCTCTAATTCTTGTATTCTGAATAATCTAGTTAATTAGCTCTGCTTCTCAGCTATTTTTTACTTCAACATACTCTAGATTCTTGAATCTCTTAAACTCCTCTACTTTGTTTTTTTATTTCTCTTTCTCTATTTTTTCTAGATACTTTCTATTAAATACTACAGTCAGACCTCTATATAATCACCAAGTTGGTTATACTCTAATTTGCTGATTGTATAGAGGTGTGACTATAAACAAAATACCAAGTTATAATCACATGATTACTGACTAATCAAAATTATAATATTTGCATATATTAAAATTTACTATTAAAATTCTAAAATCTTCAATAGCAAATATCTTTTGATCTACTAGACAAATTTGAATGAAACAACTACCAAAATGTTTATTCCAATAAGCTAATTCTAACAAACCCAAAATTACTAAAATCTGATTACTGAATCCCAAGATTATTAATAATTTGTATTACTATAGATATTTAATCTTTAAGCATCTAAAGTAATATAAATCATTAATGATCTTGGGATTTTGTAATCAGATTTTAGTGATTTTGGATTTATTAGAATCAGCTCATTAAGATAAACATTTTGGTAGTTGTTTCATCCAAATTGGTTTAGTAGATCACAAGATATTCACTATTGAAATTTTAAAATTTTTAATAATAAATTTTAAATATGTATAGATATGAATATTAACTAATTAGATTTAATAATCTATATTTATTTAAAAACTAGTGATTATAAAGAGGTTTATTATTAATAAAATTGACTAAAAAAATTAAATTTTATGATGATAGTGATTATAAACAATTTGTGACTATAAAGAGGTTTATTTCTTATGTTTTAAGTCTGTTTCATAA